ACAAATGGACTTTTGGAAGGACTATTCATTAATATTATGTTTGAGAAATTCATGGCACGCAAAAGTTTGATGATATTCGATTCTAATGCAAGAAACTCCAAATGAAAATATAGCAATTAGTTAAGATAACTCTATTGAAGAAGTATATACCCTTGATGAGTACTTAAACATAATAAATTATAAAATTTTAGAAGAAGTTTAGGTACTTGATATATCGAAAATTTAGATAGCTCAATAAGTTGTGTCATTATAGAAAAGAATAGAATTGAAAAAGAAAAAAGTTGTTGACAATACTTTTGCATATGATGTACTGCATTATATAGTAATGTGGCCCGTTTGGTAGCCATTTTTTTTTAAAATGTAATTTTCTCTCTTCTTTTCAACCACACATTCTTTATTAAAATAATATTATACGTAAATAAAAAACTTTTCCTTATTTTTTAACCACACATTTCACATCAATTAATTATTTTAAAATGTATTTTTACATAAAAATGACTATCAAATACCCCCTGAATCAAAATGAATTCGTCAAAATATATCAATCGAAATAATGATTGGCCAAATAGAGGGACCCAATTCTAAATTAAATTTACTCGAAAAACTTGAAATTTCTAAATCTGTAATTCAAAAATCTAAAAATATATACTTATGCGAGAAGAAAATGAGAAAATGAAATATTAAAATGTAATGCATGACTCTTAAAATAATATTTCACAAAGATAGTGCTGTGGACGCAATCATGAGTAAATATCTTGTTATCGTGACGATGCATGTCAACACATTTGACATGAATAATAATAATCCGGAAACATTTAATATGCTCGAAGCATAATTCAAGTAATATTACCGCGAGGAGTGAATATGCGCTTTTCTCTTTTTTCCTTGATAGAGGTTGTCCTATTAGATTTTTCTGACAAGATTTTTAACAAGACAACTTTTATAGTGTACTAAAAATAATGGTGTACTATTTTTCTTTCATTAAATTTTTTTTCACAAGTTTTTTCCTGATAAAATTTTGATGGGGCATATTCTTTATGTAATGAATGCTCATGACATATAAAAATTACCTTCAAAATAATATTCCTATATGTATGTGATTCCCGAAGAGATCAACAAAAACTATTTTTTGAATTATCATGTTACTACAATCATCAAAGATTGATAAAGATCTCGTATGAAAATAGTGTTATTTGAAGACTATTGAAGATAACATGAGATATCCTTCATCAGAAATTGCAATATTGAAAATATTCATATACAAGATTATGATATATTGATACAAGAATTGAAATTAAGGAGAGTAGATGTACTATTTTTCCTTCGATCAAATTTGTCTAACTAAATTTTCTTGATAAATAAAAAAAGGCAATATTCCAAATTATTTGCATTCTTTTTCATTTATTGAGCATTTTTTCCATCGAGTTTTTTGCCAAACAAGGTTTTAATGAGATAGTTATTATATAAATAGTCATTCAAGTGGAGTGTTTTAAATATTTTATTTTTAAATGATGTTTGTAACCCTAATTTTTCCTATAAATACGGGGATTTCGATTCTTTATAATACACATAAGCTTATTGACTTCTCTATTTTGTTTTCTATTCCTCTCTACGTTATAACAAGTTGAATATTTTTATAATTAAACTAATATTTAAGCAAATAATATAAAATGTATCTTAATCATGAATTTTATCATAAATAGAGTACTTAAGACGTTAAGTACAGAAACATTTGATGGGAAACATGACATATTTGAATAACCCGGTTACCTACCAATTGTAGAAGTAAGATTTATAAAGTGAATAGAGCTAATTGTTCACAACTAGTAAATAGAATATTTTATTATAAAAATGTTGTATTATCTTTATCAAAGTTTTATTTTGGCTTTGAAAATAAAGATGATAATAATAATAATAATATATATTAATGGACACAATCATATAACATTTAATTTATTTTGATGATCATACAGAATATTATTGACAGTCGATCTTATGCATGAATTTGAATGGATTATGAAATCTAATTATTAATTGAAGTTTATTTTTTAGTTAACAAAGGGCGAGAGATACCTTAGGAATTAGAATGAATTAATTGATGAACCCTTTTAACATGGAATTCATCACCTAATTTATAGGAGCGATCGTTGTCACAAGTATTTTTCTAATGAATAGTTTAATCTGAACCAAGTAGTTTAACAATGAGACTGTAAATTCTTAATTGTTATATGATCACAATAAATTGTAAAGTGAAAAATGGATATATTTGAATTATATAAATAATTAACAGTTGACTATGTCAAATTGCTAATGACATGTTAGAGAAATTAATTATTGAAAAATAAGCTTTGATAATTTCAATTAATTTGAGAGCATGGTTTCGACAGATATTGGATAAAGTCGAAACTAATTAATTAATCATGAACGATTAAAAGTTGAATGGTACACAAATTTGTTAGTAGAGCTTAGATCATGTCTCCGATCAAGTCCGCTTTAAAATAAGAACATTGTGTTAAATTATAAGACTTAGAATTTAGTAAGGATTATACAATTGAATATCTAAAATCAATATCAACGTATACGTAATATTGCAATTAACAAAATTGTTGATCACTAATAGTAACATTTTTTTGCATGGTCAGACCCAAGCTCGTTCATTTAATTGACTTTTTTTTTCTATAAAAAATATTTTCTCACTTTTGGTTATGTGATCATATTTTCCTCAAAATCAAGAAAAATATTTTTTTTTAAGGGGAGTGTGATTTTATTTTTCAGGAAATTCACTCTCTCTTTCTCTCTCTCATTTACCCACCAATAAAAATCGGATAAGTAAAATATTTTTTGGGTTGAAAATTAAATCAATCAAACACATTTAATTGATAATTTTCATGCAAATAAGTTCTAAACAATTGAATTACCTATAATTTATTTTCCTTCCATACAAATTTCATATTTACAATCAAACATACCCTAACGACAACATTTTACATGTTATATAATTAAATTAAGAAATAAAATATTACATAATAAATTCGTTAAGGGTATAATATGTGATCGTTCGAAGAACGAATTAGTTCCAAAAATTATGCTAAGCCGGTAGATCATTTTTCTGATTTTCACGTGGGAAAGTTAGACTTTAAGGAAAGTCGGGAGTTGAAGGAAAGGAGAAATAAAAAAAGCAACTTCGTAAGTTTAAGTGTAAGAGAAGAAATTCGGATAATGTTTGATTGTGCTTAAAATTTATTTTCCATTAAATATTTATTTATTTTTTTAAGCTTAACTAAAAATATTATTATTTTAAGATACTTGTATAAGACGAATCATCAGTAGTTTCATAAATTGTGTGTGTCTGTATGTCACTATTTTACTGATCGTGATAATTAGTGGATGAATGCAGTGCAGTTTGTATGATTTTCTTTAATTTATTTTTAAATCAAACCATGTTAAACAATTTTTAAAAATGTTCAAATCAAAGCAAACCATTTTATTTTACAAATCAAACCAAACTATGTTTTGAATTTTTTTTTTTTCCCGGGTTTCAAACCACAATTGATTATTTGTGAAATAGATAAGAAAATATTATTATAAATCATTATTTTCCTAACAAAACCTACAAGCCATATAGTAACTGTAATTTTCGGAATAAAAACATATTTTGAGTAAAAGGGGTAGTTTTTTAATAAATTGGTGATTTGATATCAACTATTAAGTAATTTTTAAGTATGGAAAGCTAAATTGAAATTTACAAAAAATCTGACTTAATTTAATTTATTGTAGTCTTTCACCTAAATCGATATTCTAATCCCGTTAGAATTAGATATGTAGTGGTAGTGGTAATGGTAGTAGTGTATGTATTGTATGGTAGCCTAATTCGAATGTTATTCAAACTCTCTCTCCCTCTCTCTAAAAACCTTCCAAAAACTCATTTCCCTCTCTTTAAAACGGACTTTCCCTCCACTCT